GATATCCAAACTGAGGCAGAGAGATAAACTAGATAATGCTATATGGACTATAGAGGGAGAATAGAGAATGTTATTGTCAGTGTTGGATAGAAGGAAAAAGTTTACCATGAATGATAAGAAAACTTAGTAGACCTGAAGAGTGACAAATGAGAGGGAGTCACAGGAAGTCACCCTGTCTATGCTGGGTGGAACTGCTGGGAGTCACTGCATCCTTGGCAATAGTCCTAGAAGGCTTGTTAGGAAAGACTGGGTTTCAGCACCTGCCTTATCTCAAATACTCACATCATAGAAATCAGTATGATATCAAATTATGCCAAAAATTGTGAAATCTTGCAGGTAAAAGAGAAAGAATGAAATGTGTATCTCTCTGGAGTCTCACTGGGAACCATAATGTTGGCGAATTTAACAGTACCTTGGACAATCAGCCTAGGCCATGGTTGTCTCCTCCCAATCCAGTCTCTACCTCAACCCCAGAGTTTACATGCAATATCTACTCCCATTTCCTCCACAAAAACTCTAGTGTCCTCCACATTGCTGTTCCCCTACCCTATCTCAGTTATCCTTTTGAAATTTAAGAACCGCAGCAGAAAAATCAATGACATGTGATAAGTGTGTGATGGGTAACATGGTGTGGTTAAAGGCAAACAAAACCCAGGCTCAATTCCTGGCTCTGCTAGGCTCTCTGGGCCTGTTTTCTACTTACAGTGGGGATACCAAGGTCCAGTGTCCCAATTGCTGTTCGGGGTCACAGGAACTCAAATCTGCAAAAGCACCAACTTAATGTGTGATTGAAACAGGAACCAGTGTATTTTTCAAAACATGAAAATAGGACCAATCACATGAGTTTTGTAGCAATCTTATTATTTTCCTTTGGAATAGGTATCACCTCAGCTCTTTCTCATAATTGGACAAAAGAAATTTTAGTCATAATAATCATATCAAAGTTGAACTTTGTTTTAACAATATTATTGCTGCATCACTGAGCAAGAAAATGTAGAGTTTGGATTTATAATCCTCTCGTGTAGCTTTAGCACTTTGGGACCTCAGTTCTATGTAGGCTTAAAGAATATTTCCTTCTAAACCAAGCTTTTGCTCACATAATTATTCTTCCCTTTCACACCCCCTCAACAGTTGTCTGCAACCTATGATAACTCAGGTCTCTTCTGCAAGGACAAGGCCTTTTGTGGCTATTCTGAACAACCTAACCTTCCCTTTATTGAGTAATACCAGTAGCACTTACTAGCTGTGAAACTCCAATGGAGATTTGGCCATTAAAGTAACATTCATTATGTGGTCCCCATTCATAGAACAATTTATATTTGTCCAATTCTTATAATCCCTACAAAGTAGCTATAATTATCCCCATTTGCAAATGAAGCCATTAAGGCTAAATGAGACCAGAGAACAATGATAAAGTTTACATTCAAAGAATAGGGTTTCCATTACACCAGGCTACTTCAAAAACGTTTATTATTTGTTTTTTTAAGTCTGTGAGTTAATTTATTTGTGTCCTCTTCCATAAGCTATTTAGAGCAGTACTTCTGAGCAAAAGACTTAGATTATAATGTTTGTTTCATCTCCTCGAAGTTTCAGTCATCTGTTAGACAAAGATAATGCCCTCAATCTCTTAGCTGTCATTTTATATTTTAAAAACAAAGCTAGAAATTCTAAACACTCTGTATATGTCTGTTAAACTAACTGAATTAATGAAAAGAGACCAAAATAAGAAACCCAAATTTGAATCCTACCAAAATTTGAATCCACGAACCTAAGTCAGTATGCACTGACTTAAGTCAGTATTGCAGAAGCAATGGGTGCCCTCTACTCAAAGAGGTCAGATTCTCATAATTTTAGCTCAACATCACCAATTTCCAAATGAAGGAACAGTTATTTGCTTTTCATGATGAGGTGAGCCAGTGAAGAGCTCACCCAAATCCTTGCTTTTCAAATATTTTTTAAAAAATAAATTTGCAAGTTGATATTTAGTTATGGCTAAACACATTCAAAAGGTGGCAATAACAACCAATGTTTTTTGTCACCCAGTTTTTAAAAATAGCACACCTATGTGTTACTCTTTCAAACATTTGGATATTACTAAATATATTCTCCTACTAAAATGTTAACTGCCAAGATTCAGCCCACAGGCATATTTTTATAGGCAAGTTACATATCCCTAAGAAATTATAGAAATACACAATAACGCCTACATCCTCAAAGCCAAAATCCACAGCAGCTTCTACAAACTTTGTGCCATGAGAGGCAGCTGCTTTTCCCAGCTGAAAAGGACTCATAAAAATCTCAAAGGAGATGAAAACAGCTTTTTAAAACATGAAGTCTCAAAAAAAAAAAACAACCAAAATTCTATCCTGAGTTCATTTAATTCAATTCTGTTTATGGTATTTATAAATAAAAATACCCTACCATATATTTTATTCATGCATATACCATAAATATTTATTCTTATTTATTCAAAACCTACAGGAGTAAAGGTTCCTGACAGTACTCTTGCTTTGCCATTTGTGTTCATGTGTTTCAGTCCCTATGGACTTGGTTATAATCAACAAAATCACACTTGTGGATTACAGTTGGGGCTTAGAGAAATTGCATCATCAGTCAAATAGCAAACATTTAGTGAGTGTTTACAAAATGTAAGACACTGCACTAGGCACTGTGACCATATTCAAAATAAAAGGTACCATTCTTCCCTTTAAAGTACTAGTTAATCTCAATACAGATTATTGCCAACAGACAACTGATTTCTATGGTGCTTTGAAGACTGAGCTGTAGGGAGCAGGTAAAAGTTCAAGCTGAAAACAATTTGTCAGTTCAATATTTCGAGATAATTAGTCTTTGAAATTACGTGGCTGTCTCTAGATATATTGATTGTATCACCTTGTGTATTGTTTAGACTGGCACTCACCCAAATGCATTCTAGTTTAAATTGAACAAAACAGGTAGGATTTCTCAGAACCTTTAATATTGTAATAAGTTCCCCAAACATATTCAATAACAGAAGGTTGTTTTTTTTTTTAATTTGTTTTAACAGCACTTCTACAAATATCTAAGGAAGCCTATCTTTGTGTCCATGTTTATCTTTTCAGGAGTCTGGAAATTCAAGCAGATTTTTTTTTTAATTTTGTGCATTTTTTTTTTGTTAATGTGATACAAAATAAGCATGTTTTAAACCATCAGGATAATAATCTTTTAGCTGAATAGTGTCTTGTATTTTATTTTCTCCATTTGCATTCTGCTTATGATTGGGCTAATAGCCAAATGATGTCATGCTTTGTTGCACAAACAACATTTCCCAGCAATTCGAATAGAGGGAAATGGTAGGAAAATTGAATCATTACATTCAGTGCCATGTGTAGACTTGTTGAACTCAAGAGAAAATGTGACAGCTCATTATCCTAGAGCAAGAGTCTATGGTGTTTATGTCTTTTTACTTGTGACAGTACATTGGTGTTACCTAGTTACAATATTAAAACTTTAAAATATATTCTCATAGTTATGTTTTACAGGTTACCATTAAAATTATTGTCAGAACAAAATCTAAATGATAGTTCAACATTTAAAAGAAGAATTGCATTGATAGTAGCAATGAGTCAACAGAATTACAGAATATAACCCATGAACACATCTTTTCACTAATCAGCATTAACAATTTAGTTTTAGCAAAACAATATTAGCCTGGCACAGTAGCACATGCCTGTATTCTGGAGGCTGAGGCAGGAGAATTGCAGATTCAAAGCCAGCCTCAGCAATTCAGAGAGGCCCAAAGCAACTCAGCAAGACCCTGTCTCTAAATAAAATACAAAAAAAAAAAAAAAAGGCCTGAGGATGTTGCTCAGTGGTTAAGTGCCCCTGGGTTCAAACAAAAACAATAACAAAAAACCTGATATCAAACATCATATTAATGTAGATATATAGTATATTGATTCAATTTAGCTTTCATTTGTAAGTTTTCCTATATTTTATTGTCATGCCAGCCATAATAATTATGACTTTTCCTTTGGTCTAATATTTGTCCATAGTTTTGTTTTTTTGTTTTTTGGTACCAAGGGCACTTTACTACTGAGACACATCTCCCAGCCCTTTTTGTGTTTTATTTTGAGACAGGGTTTTACTAAATTGCTTAGGGACTTGCTAAATTGCTAAGTCGGGCTTTGAACTTGCAATCTTGCCTTAGTCTCCTGAGCTACTGGGATTACATGCATGCACTATTGTACCTGGCTGTATATATATATGAATAGAGTATATTTTGACATATTACACATTCATAGTATATTCTAATTAGGATTCCATTCTTGTGGCTGTACATGATGTGGAGTTCCACTGGTTGTATATTCATATATGAACATAGGAAAGTTTGTCTGATTCATTCTACTGTCTTTCATATTCCCATCACCTCTCCCTTCCCTTCATTCCCCTTTGTCTAGTCCACTGAACTTCTATTACTCCCTCTCCACCACTTATTGTAAGTTAGCATCTGTATATCAGAAAGAACATTTGGCCTTTGATTTTGGGAATTGGCTTATTTCATTTAAAATGATAGTTTCCAGTTCCATCCTTTTACCAGTGAATGTCATAATTTCATTTTTCTTTATGGCTGAGCAAAATCCATTGTGTATATGTACCACATTTTCTTTATCCATCCATCTGTTGAAAGGTATGTAGGTTGGTATCATATTAGCTATTGTGAATTGAGGAGCTATGAACATTGATGTGGCCATGTCATTATAGTATGCTGATATTAATTGCTTTGAGTATCTGCCAAGGAGTGAGATAACTGGGTCAAATAGTGGTTCCATTACAAGTTTTCTGAGGAATCTCCATACTGCTCCATAAAGGTTGCACTAATCTGCAGTCCCACCAGAAATGAATGAGTATGCCTTTCCCCCCACATCCTCACCAACATTTGTTGTTACTTGTATTCTTTTTTTTTTTTTTTTTTTTTCACCTCTAACAATCAAGTTTAATCTTTAAAGATATAGGTTACAAAGTTGAAAGCTGTGGTATCACTTTCTTTTTTTTTTTTTTTTTTTTTGCCCTTATAAAAGGTATCATCTGGTGCATTCCTGTATCAACAAAGATCCTTCAAGTTCAGATCCTGATATAGGATCAATAATAGGTCTGTACTTGGACCCAAAGCAGAGGCCTAGGAGATGATTTACAGTGGAATCATCAAACGGACATCCTTCTCATAGATGTCAGGGATCATTCCCATTGGGGAGCTGACCATGTGTATAGTATTCTTGCCAAACAGCTGGAACTCATAATGGATGAGTTGCTCCCAAAAGCCAGCATTGGGTCGGATGATGGGCCGGCATGACTTGGTCCATGTGTGAGCATCCAGCAGGGACATGGCATGGTACTTCATGAGGTAGGCAAGGCACAAAGTGGCTGAGCGGCTCACGCCAGCGGCACAGTGTAGCAGTGTACGGCCCTGCTTCATTTCCACACTGTGGATGTGGTCGGCAATGGGGTCAAAGAAGTCATAGAGCTTGGAGATGGGTGCGTCAGCCACAGGCACCTGTGTATACTGGATATCCTCATAGATGGTATTTACCACCTCTACTGAGACATTGATGACTGAAGTGATCTGGTTGCTGGACAGCAAGAGCTTGTTGTTGGCAGCTACACCATTGCTGATGTACAGGCTTCTGGTGATCTGTGAGAGGCCGCTGATTGAGGGCTGCCGGAACTGAACTGGGAAGGTGCACAGGGGTGCTGTCATCAAGGCGGTGGGTCAGCAATTGGTGACACATGAGGCCTGCATTTTTCTAAGCTGTGTCCCTGGAAAACTCTCTCCAGGAGGAGTACAAGGGGGTTCGTTCATGAAGAAGTGGCACCGATAATCTCCAGCCAAGGTTCTCAAAGAGAGACCAGCTCGGAAGCACAATCCCCGCCGACCCAGCAACCTGATTTCCATAATAATGGTTTCTCCTGGGGGGGGGGAGACGTCTGCCGCCCTGGTCTCGGGAGAAATCCTGTATTCTTAATAATAGTTATTCTGACAGGGGTGAGATGGAATCTCAGTGTAATTTTAATTTGCATTTCTCTAACTTCTAGAGATATTGAACATTTTTTCATATATTTGTTGACCATTCATAGTTCTTCTTCTGTGAAGTGCCTATTCAGTTCCTTGGTCCATTTATTGATTGGGTTATTTGGGTGTTTTTGTTCGTTTGTTTGTTTTGATGTTATGTATTTTGAGTTCTTTATATATCCTGGAGATTAATGCTCTATCTGAGGTGCAGGTGGAAAGATTTTTCTCCTGTAGGCTCACTCTTCACATTCCTGATAGTTTCCTTTGCTGTGGAGAAGCTTTAAAATTAAAAGTTACCATTGTGAATCTCCAAGATTCTCCTTTCCAGCTTTACTCAAAAATTTTTAAACATCAATAGAGTGAGAGGAACTTCAAAGTTGAAGTACAAAACTTAGGTTTAAACTCAATATTTAAATCTCTCTGAGTCTCTATGATCACATCTTTGAAACTGAAATAGTACTGAAATCACTTTTTTCATAGCCTCACTGTTGAAGGTACCAGCTCAATATGTGATACATAGTAGGAGTTCCATAAGAGGTTGACTTTTTCATCAGCATAATCTGACTAAATCTGCAACTATACAGTTTTTATAGTTCAAATCTGAAAATTATATTTTCTACTGGAATATCTAAGACAGTTGATCTGGGCAGCAAAGACAGCCACCTAGAAACAAAAGAATGATTCATCCAGTGTGTACATGATGATTCTGTCTGAAGATAATAATACATATATGTAAACTGCTGTGCATTTTGGCCAAAAGGCCATGTGTTTAAATCAATATCCAGCAAAGCTGAATCCTACTATCACCATTATAAAATCAGTTTCCAGGGTATAAATTTACATCTGAAGTATAATTGTTTAAAACTTTATTAGGAGTATAATTATAAAAATTAGACAAATTTTCCAAGTTTGATGTTACAGTTCAGGAACAATAATTTCTTAGCACAAGTAATCATTAAGATTGTTTTATTTATTTATATTTCTTGGAAGGAGTTACTGTGGATTGAACCCAGGGCCTTGGTGCACACTGGGAATATGTTCTACCACTGAACTATATCCCCAGCTCTGTCAAAAGTATTCTAGATCCACATTTATATTATTAGAGAGTTGAGAAATGTCCCCTTTCAAATGGAACATATAATAACATTACTCTCCTTTTTTTTTGTGCAAAGCAGAAACATTTCATCAGGGCTGGGGATGTGGTTCAATGATAGAGTACTTGCCTAGCATGCATGAGATTCTGGGTTCTATTCCCAGTATCACAAATACACACACACACACACACAAACACACACACATTATATAATATGTTTATGTATATAATATATGTTTATATATAACCCTAATAAGTTATCTTATTTTTGTTTTTCTTTTTGTGGTGCTGGGGATCGAAGCCAGAGCCTTACACATGCTTGGCAAATGCTCTATCACTGAGCTACACCTTCAAATCTTCTTACAGCCCTTATAAGTCTATTGCTTTAAAGTGAGAGTAGTGAGTACAAGGCATGTTTTAAGTAGCTTATCTTTCAGGAAGATTACCTTCTTGCTTTGTCTTCACAATGAATGTTATTGAATATCATTTTGAAGCTTTTATCTTTCTCCTTTTAGAATTACTTTAATTCATCTTCACAAGTATAAAGTAATCCTAAATGGGAAGTTCTTCCTGAAAAAAAGAAAAAGGCTTAACTAGAATTAAATAATTAAAAATTAAATACTATTCTTTTTTTTAAACATCGATTTTATTTTTAGTTGTAGATGCACACAATACCTTTATTTATACAAGGTGCTGAGGATCGAACCCAGGGCCTCACATGTGCTAGGCGAGTGATCTACCACTGAGCCCCAGCCCCAGCCCTTAAATACTATTCTTAAAGGTTATTTTTGTTTTATATTAGGAATCCCAGGCTACAAAACAAATATTAAGATTAGCATATTGGCCCACACCTGTAATCCTGGCTACTCAGGAGGATCATAAATTTGAGGCCAGCCTTGGTAACACAACGAAACACTGTCCCAAATTTAAAAAAATAAAATAAAATAAAGGGGGCTAGGAATGCAGCTCTGTGGCAGAGCACTTCCCTAGTATGTGTGAGACCTTGGGTTCAATTACCAGCACTGCAAAGAATAAATAAAATAAATACATATAAATAAAAAGAAAAAGGGCTGAAGATGTAATTCATTGGTAAATCACCACTGGGTTCAATCTCCAGTCCCAGGGAGGATGAGGGGGAATAAAATTAGCATTATGGTATGATTTTTACATTATCTCTATTTTTCTGTCTTTTGTTATTACTTCTATGTTTATGAATGTTTGTTTATAATGCATTTATTATTCTTAGTTATCTAGTTTTGCCTTCCTTTAAATCTGCTCACGATCTTTATCTGCAATTTAAAGATACAAAGCTCTGAGGAAATAAAATATTTTAATAACTCATTTGGCCACAGAGTCTGTCTGATGTGAGGCTTAGTGGAAATATTCATACCTTTAACTGCATAGTAATGCTTCCTCTTGTGTTTCTTAACCCATCTCCCATCCTGGAGTGTTGATCCATACAGTACATGCAATCTATTACCTTTGTAAAATGCATATACGTCTGAATTCCAAAAGATATGTGGTTCCATGGAGCTCAGATATGAGATTATGAACCTATTTTCATAATAACCATCAATTTGTTCATCTACTTAACTATTACAGAATTCTTAAAATTGAGGGACATTTTTTGATACATAAAATTAACAAGTTTGCAAATCATTATTATTGTAGCAATTTTACTCCAGAATAGTGAAAATACAATTGTCCTTCAACTGACAAAATATGAACAAAGCATAAAATTTTTACTCAAAGTACTGTCTAGAATGCTTATAAGTATTATGATATATATTCATATTGTATATAATTATATGTAATGTGTAAGAGTTCTAATCATATTTAAAATGTAATATTCAGATATTAATCTGAATAACATATATTGTTTGTCACCAATATTATATTATGGAGTAGGGATTCAATTATTCTTTTGAAAGTGAAATTTAAGTCTGAAACTGAAACCCAACAGTAAATTTTGACTAACTACTGAAGCTGAAGCTGAACTTCTGTGTATACTGAATTATGTTTTTATGTGTATTTTAAAACTGTTTTCAAAGGTCATTATGACTTGAGAGTAGTTTTTATAAAGTACAACACAGAGTGAACATATGTAATATTGGTATGTATTAATTAGGAATAAAATCATAGAGCTCTCTTTTCTGTGCTTTTTGAGCCTAAATGTACCTAAAGGCAAGACTGTTTTTCAATCCAGGGAAAAGATAATATTTTTCTGGGTAGAAGGTGACCATGTGTGGCTGTGGGTGGGGACCTTGGGAACCATGCTTCCTTCACTGGAGTGACTGTAGGCCTGGCATCTATCTATATGCCTGTGTTCAAAATTCAATTCCACTTTTTTCCTAGTTGGATGATCTTAGGAAAGTTGGATGATCTTGGGAAATTTGCTTACTTTCCAAATAGTGTCTTCATTTATGAAATCAAGACAATAAAACTGCATTTCAGGGTTGTTGATGGTATTAAATAAGTAAGTCTGTGCATAACATAGTTCATCACCTACTAAGTAGTTTAAAAAGAAAGAAAGAAAGTAAAGAAAGTTGGCCTCTTCCTTGGGGGAAGATGTTTTGAAAGGCAAAGTATAAGATGTGATTAAACCCCTGCTTCTATCAAGCAAACTAAATAAAAAAAATAACTGAGTGCCTCTTCTGTGATTTCTTTAATCTTGTGCTTGATGCTATGCCTGTCCACATAGCAGAGTTATCTGTATAGGTCAAAAATGTCTGAGCTCCTGGGATGAAAGAGATGTAACTGAGAAAAGTATTATTCTAACCGGTTCTTTCTGCCTCATCAGAAATTCACCACACATGAAGGCTTAATTTCAACATCCCCCTCTCACTGTTTTTCCTGAGCTATCAGGAAAGAGAGAGAGAGAAAGAGAGAGAGAGAGAGAGAGAGAGAGAGAGAAACACCCCCAAAGCCGGCAAAGATGACTGCTGGATTCTGCTCTGTTCTGTGTTCCTCAGAGAGGTGAGAATTGACTCAGAGCATCTACATACCAACCATTCGACCAGGAAAATTCTGAGACTGCTCATTATTCTGAGTCATCTCCCAAGAAAAATGGGGGAATAGGAGTGCTTAGCAGGGGGTGGGCTGGAATTTTCCCATTTTAAATAAATTAAAGTGTCTTCCCTTTAAAGTTTAGTCCTTGACCTACAGTTTGGGAGAGCTGGCAAGGTTTCTATTATGATTATTATCAACAGTGATTTTATTGTTACTTATACTACACAAAGATGTTTCCTCCTATCTTGAAATATAAAGTGTACCGAACAATCCTTAGAAGTATGATTCTCAATTTTCTAGAATTATGCTTGGAAAATGGAAAGGACATGTAAGACAAAGCTTAATTAGGCAATTTAAATATTATTTTCAGGAATTTGAAAAAAAAACTCACTTATGTTTCATTTTCCAATATATTTATGCTGAGTTGTCCTTATGTCTTATTTAGTTTATTGGTTACAATGGTATCTTCTTTGGGTTTGGTTTTCACAAAATACTAAATGCATTTTTGAAGTGCCAGAAGAAAATGAAAAGGAGCTGGAAACATTGTATATCTCATGCATGATGCCAGTAAAAACAACCAGCAAGCCAATAAGGAAGACAAAGGAAGCTCAACCTTTGTAGCCAGTCATTCCACAATGTAGTAGGAAAGGGCTTGGATTTATTATTCTCCTGACCCTGAGGTGCCCCATGTGGTACCTGCAACTTCAGCACATTGCTATTTGCTTCTACTTTATTGAGGAGACAAATCGTGCAACATGCATTTCATTCACTATGCTTGGATCTTCTTGGATTTTTGAAGAGATGAAGGGAAACTTCCTCTCCAGGAGTGACTC